AATTACTAGCGGATGCATTTAATAAAACATTTAATAAAACTTATTTTCATTGTCTCCAAAAAGAGTTACATTTTTTTTAATTAATTACTCACTAATCAGTTAAAATCGTTACACATTTTTATTATTTATTTTTTGGATAAGTTACTAAATTAATTCTAAATTTAATAGCAAAATATTCAAATGTGTAACGGCTAATGTTGGAACTTAAAGTTGATTGGCACATTCAGAGCTGTAACCGCTATATTTGGTTGCATTGTTGGAAGAAAAATATGATTGACAAATATATTTTTTTTTCTAAAAATCAGAAACACCAATAATTTTTTTATTTATGTTAATTTTCTTGATATATGTCACAAATATATAAATTATTTTATTCATGTTACTAATATAAATGTTGCTGGTTAAAATAAAATTTAAATTTCAATTAATTTTGAATGATAAAAATAACTTAGGAAAAATTAATAATTTTTAGATGATAGAAATACATGTGTAATTAATAAATATAAACAAAAACGTGTTTTATATCTGTGCAAATGCGCATGATCAAATACTAGTTTACATCCATTTACCACCAACCATTCATACAAAATAAAATAGGTTACCTATCTTACTATCTTTAGCACAATCCTGTTTAGAAGCAGAATCCAGATCTTCAGTAAACACATCATCATTCTCATAATCTGAATCACCTGAACAAATTCTTCCGACCTCGTATTTATAGAGTTCATGATCAACATAACCACTAACAGCAGTAACTGAAGAATTAGTGCTATCAATAAATCTAACTCGTTTCGACCCACTCTTGGTTCTTGGATTATCAAGGATTGATTTGGGATCCCTATCATTGGAATCGCCATATAGAGCAACATGCTGGTAATAAAGTTCTAATTCCTTTTCAGCGATTGCAATAAAACGTCTTACAGACTCGAGTGATTGTTCATACTCTGAGCAGGAGAATGTGAAGAGAGTCCAATTGGCCGACCAGAACTTGAAAGATGCTGCACTTGGTGATGCCAACATGAATGCCACCGACAGAGGGACTTTCTATGGTTAGATTTATTGGGCCTGATAGAAGGAAGTTTGCAGTACATATTCTTTTTCATTTCTTTATTCAGCTAGTTATATATCTTCTATTTGTGCACACTACATAAAAAATTTTCGTGTCTAACTTGGTTCGTGAAAAACTTCTCCCGATTGTAGGTCAAACAGCTTAATTAGAAATTGAATATGTTAATGGGATACTCATCCTTCCACCAATTGGTTTTGGGATGGAACTCTACTTGGGCTTCATATGGGCTTTTCCCGTTCATGGTGCGCTTCATGATAGTGGACCCGCACCCGTTTTCCCCCAGTTTCTGTCAGAATATTCCTGTGACTGAAGGTTGCGATGACCCAAAAGCGACTAACTCCAATCCTACTGCAAGAAGTGATGATGGAAGAGTGTTGGGTTTAAAATGAATTTTCCTACAAACCAAAGGCATGTCTAGATTAATTGCCAATAACTAGTATTGTTACTGTTGCTTGTATCCTGTAATTTGTGTTGAAAAAAACAGTTTGCATTTTGATGGTTTCTGTGGTTGGGAGTTGAATAGGAACAGATAGATTGTATAATTGGAGGTGAATACCAATGTTTGCGTTGAATCGTTATATTGCTTTCCAAAAAGTCAAGTAACTATTCATTCAAAGACAAGACCGTATTAGTACTTCACTTGGAAATTATGAGCATGTTTGTTTACAAGAATCTATCATTATATTAAAAGATTAACCATTTAACAATTTTAACAAGTTTTTCCGGTCAAATACATTTAATGTCTACTAAATATAGATTTTCAGACATAATTGATAACGCAATAATTAGTTTTCTTTATCCTTTTGTTTTTTGTTCATTAAAAATCGCTGTTTTATTGTGATATAATTTATTTTCTTTATCCTTCCAATTTTATTCATTAAAAATCGCATAAGAATTTTTCCTATTAATAGCCAGTTTTATCTATGTTCAAACATGTCTACATTAAATGCTTTACAGATGTCCTGTAAATTATTTAAGCCCGTTAAATCCGTTTATTATCAACAAAATATGCGTGTAATCAATTCATTTCAAAATTTGAATAGCACCTAAAAATCCCTATAAAATCGTTTATTTGCTCGGTATGTACAAATTTAGTGGCTGAATAATTGGAAAGAATCCCATTTTACATGGAAATACAAATCTGTACAAGTTCTATCCCATATTGCATCGGTTTATCCTTAAATGATTGCATTATAGTCATATAGTGTTTCACTTTTTTTGTATTCCTATTATGAAGGAATCTGTTAATTTCCAAATTCAACATGTAAAAAAGATAAAGCTGTAGGCATTTTTTAATCTGTTGTTATCAACAAAAATCACATTCAAAATTTAAATAGCATCAATGAACATAAATCTATCTATATATATATATATATATAAAATCTCATATCATGAAAAAATCTCATAGTCATATCACTAAATTTAAATAATCTCATATCAAGAAAACTCACCCCCAGCAACAGAGGGCAATACAAACAAGCAGACGTACGGTTTCTCAGATCTACAACACACAATTAATGTTACACCAAAAACCCTAAATCTTTTTCCAGGTAATATTTCGTTTGGTTTTTGTATCATGATATGAAACCTTTAGTTTATCAAATTGATCATTCATATAGAATTGAGTCATAAATACCTATGTAATTATACAAATAAATATATTATTTTACCATTTTTTTATAATTTACTTTGGCCCAACCGAGATCCATCCGTCGGCCTCGTGGTTTTACCCGTCGGAATCGTAACCCCGAATGAACTTCTTCGCCACGAGCCGCGGGCTAGGCGGGCTGGNAAAAAAAAAAAAGGGAGGAGCATGATCAAATCAAGGATTGTGAAGATGAGCGGCTAGGATGGGCGGAGGAGGAAAATAACGGGAGGACGGAGAAGACGATCAAATCGGGGCGGAGGAGCATGGACAGAAAATTTCTGGAACTTTTGAAATTTTTTGGGGTTTTTGTATTTGGAAAATTTCTTGTGAGTGTTATTGGCTATGAGAAAAGATTTGCGTGTTAGATCTACTGGTCTTCAATTCACAGATGAAAGATTAAAAAAAAAAGAAAAACTTTGCTACGCGATGAAGAAGATGAAGAGAATAAGTGATGAGAGGAGAGAGAATTTTACTTATTTTTTTTCGTCAGATTTGAGTGTGTATATTTAATTTAGTGGCGTGTTTGTACCAAAAAAAATTTTAGTGTCGTGTGTATTTAATTAGTGAGGGTTAGAAGATTGATTGTGTATTTAGTTAGTGAGGGTAGTTGGGGTGTTGAGATGGTATATTAAGATGATTTGGGCAAAAAACTAAATTATATAGAGTGGCTGGGCGGACCAAAGTAAATAGGCCGAATTAATCTATTTAATATATATGGGAAAATTTCATAACTGCCCCTCTTTAAGAAAAATATATTTTGAGTTATATATTTGTTTATTGATCGACTAAGCTAGGATTATGTAAATAACTAAAGGCTCAAATACAGTGTGGGACAATTTTTTCGGCAACAACAATCAACATTCTCAGCCCAGGAGAGAAGTCCAGTAAGGGAGCCCAGTTAAGTGAGGCCCAATTTTTACAACCCTTTGTGCAGCCCGCGTCGGGCCATGCTCCTCACAACGAGTTACCTAATAATCAAACTCCTAATGTTGTGTTCAAAGAGGTTTTTATTAATATATGATTTTTTCGTGACGAACATTTTATGATCGAATATTATTCGTATGTATTAAACTCTCATATATCCTAATGCATGTCAAATTATAATATTTTTCAAATTCATATACCTCGTGCATCGCACAGAATATGCACTAGTTTTTAAAAAAAATTCCAACATTTTAACTCAACTTTAACTCAATCACACTATCACCAATATTATCAATATAATTAAATAATATCAATCAATCATTCATACACACAACATCAACCTTAATTCACTATTCATCCACTCACATTATTTTAACTAACAATCACTTCAAATCATCCATCTCCTACTTTACATCAAATCAATTTTAATTATTTTATTTTAAATATTATTTTAATATACCCACTAACACCTAACCATACCACATTTTTCAAAATTAACCAAACCAAACCAAACCAAAAAATCCAAACAAAACAAAAAAAATTCATAAACAAACATACTCTATGTTTCTACTACTGAAAATTGAAAGATGCTATAAGAAATCTATTTAAAGACCAAACCAGAAAACTTCCTATTGTGGAATTTACAATCTTTAACTTTTTCAAGATGTATGCTACAGAAAATACACTTACCCATCTCCTTCTCCCATACCGTCCCTTTCAATCCATTGTCGCAACCTACGCATGAGTTGCAATAGCACAAGAAATTAGAAACTTGTCCAGGTTTACTACTAAAAGTCGCAATATTTACCCATGTCTAGCTATGAACAAAAAACAAACCTGCAAAATTGATGCACAAGTCAAGCAATTACTAGTGATATTTCCCCTTTCTTATGTACGCTGAGGCAAAAAAGTTTCAACATGCGGGCCTCCAGGACGAGAGCGCATACAGGACACGCCCCCTCCACCCTTGCAACATCCAGTCCCCGTCCTCGTCTACCAGAAAATCCTTATGGTAGCACGACTCCACTTTCTCTCTCGCCATACCCATTATCTCCCGATCCAGAGGAATCTGCTCGAACCCAGCCCGCACCATCCGTGCCTGCCACTTCCTGTACGTCTCGGGCCTCTCCACCCTCTCGCACCCCTCGCACGCTATCACGTTCATCGCCTGCCTCCCAAACACGCCCCTCTCCAGGAGCACCCTCTCGTGTACCACGTCCGGGCCCACGTTCACGTCCAGCATGTCGAACAGCGCCGAGTAATGGAACATCGCCTCCCGAAACCTCGGCCTGAAGAACGGTCCCCCGTGGGCCCCGTTCATGATCCCCAGCACGAAAAGCGCGGGATTCATCCGCCGGACGAGGTTCAGTACACCATCCCTCGGGCTCGGGCTCTCTTCTTCCACCACGGTCTCGTCCGCCAGGCTCCTCATCCTGAAGAGAGAGTTCACCACCAGCACCTCGTCCGCATCAATCTTGAGATCCTCGAGCGTGATCGTCTCCCACTTGCGAGCGATGGCATTGAACTCGAACGGGACCCGGAAGACCTCGGCGTACCCGACCAGCCGCCTTCCGGTCTCCTCGACCCTCTCGGACGGCCGGAAACCCCGGCAAGGGAGGTCGATGCCGGTTATGCGGAGGCTGGGGGGCCCTCCGGGCCGGGCCGAGAGCCTCTCGAGGAAGCAGGGCCACTGGAATCCGTACGTGATACCGAAATCGATGACGTGGAGCCTAGTGGCTTTTCCCGACGCGTTTGCGATGGCCCGGTTGGCAAAGAAGTTGGAGACCTTCCGGAAGGGGCAGGTGGAGAGGTAGAGGTGGTACGCGCGCAGGGCGGCGGCGGCCGTGGCGGGCAGGTTGTCGAATGACGTGCGCACGTGGGGCCCGCCGGAGATTCGGGCCTCGAGGCAGTCGGCAAAGTAGTGGGCCAGCCTCTGCGTCCCGTCCCCGGAGGGGGACGAGTGGTTTCGGATCCGAGTAAGGAATTCGCGCGCGCTCGTGTGGTCGTCGGCTGCGATGGACTGCGCGCACAGGGTCAGGAGGTTCGTCAGGTCAACCACGATTCGCTTGTTGCTTGCTCGTTTTTTGGCTCGGTTTTTTCTACCCTTTGGCTGCCGGCCGTCGTGGTTATTAGTACTGCTGGTGGTGGTGGTGGTGGTGGTTTTGGATTCGTTCTTTTTCGGACTGGTGAGGAGCACCTCGTCGAACATTTCGGGGCTCACGGTCGACTCGGAACAGACTGCGGACACCTTGCTGCTCCTCTCGTCTCCCGGCCCTACGGACTCGTCACTGTACGGATTCTTCTTACCCCGTGACTCGAATCTTGTGTCCACAGTAAGTATCGGATTGGGAGATCGAAAAGTAAAGTTACTCCCAGAAGGGAAAATTTTCTCGGCTCCAGCGGTTTGGTTAATTCCGGATGATATACGAGTGGCACCGCTGCTGCTCGAGGAGCTGCAAGATGACCGGCAACCAGAATCGATAGGGCAGCGGTCGAAATCGGGATCGAAAATCCAATCGGGACAGAGAATAATGTCCTCGTCTAAATCGGGACTGTCGAGCGAATTGGTTTCGATACTCGGTTGGTCGGGAAGAGGATACTGTTGCCCGATAACATCGTAGAGCGACCTTTCGGCGGCCTGAAGGGCTGGGGAATCTCGAAGCGTGGAAGCCCTATCGTCCGCGTCCTCTTCCATTAAGACGTGGTTTATGTAGTCGAGAACAGCGTCGCTAAGGTCCAGATCCTCGACCGAATCTAAAGTCGAGTAGCTCGAGTTGTCAGTGGTGTTCACACAGTAACCACTGAAGCTTTGATCCATGGTTGAGCATTCAGAATTGTGTAAAGTAAATATAAAATTGCACTAAATAATCAGTGGGTAATCACGAAAATTTTAACCGCTAGAAAATAGAAAGCCAGGCCGGTGTTGTAAGTTCACACTCGAGATCAGACAAAAACCTTCGAAAAATGAATAAACAGACCTGATGATGGGGAATATTGAACAAGTGATGAAAACAGAACAGTGTTTGCTTTTTCCTCAGCACTAGAAAGGCCTGTTTGGCATCGTGGATAACATGGAGACCACATAGTAATGGGGTCTACAGATATTTTAAGAAGGGAATATGGTGGGAAAATGATGGCCGGCAGAGGATTTGAGTTGTTGAGCCTCCTCATTGTCACTTTTCCCACTTTCATTTTCTAAACCAGAGACTGCTAATAGTATTCAATCAATTCGATAGCCTGAAACTGACTACCATCAGTTCGTTGATCCCTCTCATTATTCAATTGATATTTGATAGCCTGAAATTGAGTCAACTGACTACCAATAACATGGACAACAATTCCAAACGATTAATAAACACCTAACAAACAGTAGAGCATGTTACTCTAATGTTGTTATAAAATAAATTCCAAAAAATGTCAATAAATTAAATAGATTGTGAAACATGTAAGAAAAATGTTAAATTTATAAGTGTAACTACAATATTATATACTCTCCAAATATTAAAAAAATTTAAAAGAAGAAAAAAAATTATTTAAATAATTATATAGCTTGGAATTCATAAGAATAATTATCTCTCTTATCACAACATTTGTGATTTCATTGATGAAAAATGATGACTTCAGTAAATACGTTGATGTAAACAGTAAAATATAATTACCATAACAGTATATACGCATTGGAGATGCTCTTAGAGAGAGTCCTTTGGTGGCAAGATCCGGCTGAAATTTCAGGCCATGATTTTCCTAGTAAGAAGCCTAATAGAAGACCTACCAGTAGTAATTTTATTGTTGGTCAAACATAACGGTTAGACAATCATACTTTATCAATATATACTTTCAAACTTGATATATCATCTTGGATAGCTCGATAAACCGACTTAGTAAGGTTTAGCTCGGTGTTGTTAGTTCAAAGGCCCCATAACGCGGACTGGGTTTAACGATCTCATCGCTTATCAGAGAGGATGGACAGACTTAACAACCTAAAGATTATAGAACCATAGTTGAATCCTATAATTGCGGAAGCCATAGATAGGGCACGAACCCTATCTATCGAGATTGGAATGAGGCGGCACGAAGAGTGAGGGCGAATGTGCAGAACAAGAGCAAGGCAGAAAGAGGTGACGACGGGGATGTTTATTTTCCATATGTTGATCTCGAGTTGGAAGAAAATATTTTCTTTCAGTTGTTAGAGTCATTATATTCCCGAATTTTTGTTTAAGTGGGTGTAAATTTGGAGTAGGAAAGTCACCAATTTTGGTTGGGTGAGGAATTCTTTTAGTAGAATTTTTTAAAGTTTTATTATTAAATGTAGTTGTTGTGCCTCTGTATTTTAATGATTTCAATCATACAATTTTTACAGAAATGTCAAAAGAATAAAATAGTCTTAAATTGGAGTAGGAAGTCATAAATAAATGTATGATGGTACTCATTAAAATTCTACAGTCAAAATGAAACAATACATAAATCATCAATAAAATTAGTCATAAACTAAAAATTTGTGCAAATTAAAATCAATAACAAAAAATAAAGAACATTTATAAACTGTAAAAGTTGTTATATTTTAATTTAAAATAAAATATTTTGTAAAATAAAAATAAAATATAATTCAAAGATAAATGGCGTAATTCTTTTGTATTGATATGTATGTGAACACGTCGAGTCAGGTCAGGATTGCGGGTCACTACTATCCCAAAAGCTTCGGGAAGGAGCGGACGAAGTTGGGTCCGGGCCAACTTCAACACTCCCCATAATTTTGCCAGTTGAAAGTTAGATTAGAGCATCTCCAATGACTTTCTATTTCTCTATTTTGTTGTCACATGGCATAAATAATTTTATGTGGGTTGAAAAAATTCTAGAAGACTTTCTAAATGTAGAAGACCTTCTAAATAATTTCTATTGTATATTAGATTATTTATTCAATTAATTTATCATTTTCAACCAATTAAAATTTTACACATCACAAATGATACCACAATTAACATTGATCATCGGAGACGTAATTTTTAGTTTTCATTCTCCATACCATATAACACAAAATGGACAATTTTCCAGATACTCTTATAGCAACTAGCACATTTGTGGCTCGTGGGCTGGTGGGTTAGGCTTCAGGTACGGTGGGCCCTGGCAGCAGGGTACAACTGAGTTACGCTTACGCTTACGCGCATGGCAATTTTGCAAAATGTTCCCAATCTGATGGCAAATACTAGCCTTTTGTTTTCAGATACAGCTCACAGTATTAGCAGGCAGCAAGAGGAGCTTGTTGATTGCAGATGCCATTTCTCATCTACATAATTTCGGCAAAAATTCACCATCTCTCTTATCTCCTTTTCTCTCTCATCAGAAAAGTCTGCGTATAACAGAAAGAGGGAGAGACAGAGAGAGAGAGAGAGAAAAGGGGGATGAAAATAGATCTGAATCTCGGCTGATTTCGACTCTCCCTTTTGGCGGTTTTCCTCAATTTCGCACACTGGATTTCTTTCTCCGCGTGTCGACGGGTAAGCTTATGTTCCCAATTTACCGTTGATTTCGGTAAGCTATGATTATATGGCGATTAAAATCTTGAGCTTGAATGGTAGATCAGGGTGCTTTACCGGATTTCTAAATTTTGTTAATGTGTGTAATTGTTTATTTCGCCAGAATTGTTTTCTCGGTGATGTGATGTCCCGTAAAGGTCGAAGCTTTCTGTCTTCCGTGCGTTGATAAATTGAGCTTCAAATTTGGGGAATAATGTTGAGGTCCTCGTGGAGACAATATCAATCTTAACTTTCAGATAGTCGGGATCTTCTAAAGCTGCAAGCTTGGATGATCTTTGGCGGCGTTTTTTTTATCTTGAGGAATGGTGGGAAATTTGAGGCTTGGGTTTCGTGAAAGAACAAGAGTGGTCAGGGTTTCGATTTAGTATTTTCCATTTAGTGAGTAGGAAAAAAAAAAGGCAGATAATAATCAGAAAGAAAGCCAATGGAGGATCTTTCGAAATACGCACATAGCCCCACCCATATAGCTGTGTTGAGACGTGACTATGCAACGCTGAGAAAGATAGTGGGCGCACTCCCTCGGCTGGCAAAGGCTGGAGAGGTGAATACTGAGACTGAGTCTATATCGGCCGAAGAAGATGCTGATGCCGTGTCTGCTGTGATCGACAGGCGGGATGTCCCTGGGCGGGAAACTCCTCTGCACCTTGCAGTTCGGCTGCATGATGCGACTTCAGCTGAGATTCTAATGGCAGCTGGTGCAGATTGGAGTCTTCAAAACGAGAACGGGTGGAGTGCGCTGCAGGAGGCAGTTTGCACGAGAGAAGAGAATATTGCCATGATCATTGCCCGGCACTACCAGCCGCTTGCCTGGGCCAAGTGGTGCCGCAGGCTTCCTAGGATTGTGGCATCGGCTTCCCGGATTCGGGATTTTTACATGGAGATAACTTTCCACTTTGAGAGCTCAGTCATACCATTCATAGGTAGGATTGCCCCTTCGGACACTTACCGTATATGGAAACGTGGGTCCAATCTGCGGGCGGATATGACCCTAGCTGGTTTTGACGGGTTTCGTATTCAGCGCTCGGATCAGACTTTTCTCTTCCTTGGAGAGGGTTATCATTCGTCAGATGGAAATGTATCTTTGCCTCCTGGCTCTCTCATTGTGCTCGCCCATAAGGAGAAAGAGATCACCAATGCCTTGGAAGGAGCAGGGGTTCAGCCTTCTGAGGCCGAGGTGGCGCACGAAGTTGCTTTGATGTCTCAGACTAATATGTACAGACCGGGAATTGATGTTACTCAGGCTGAGCTAGTTCCTCATCTGAATTGGAGAAGACAGGAGAGGACTGAGATGGTTGGAGCTTGGAAGGCCAAGGTATATGATATGCTTCATGTCCAAGTTAGCGTGAAGTCGAGGAGAGTTCCTGGTGCTATGACTGATGAGGAGCTCTTTTCTGTTAATGATGATGATAGATTAGCTAATGGGGGTGAAAATGACGATTACGATGATCTGTTGACGGCTGAAGAGAAACAGCAGTTGGATTCTGCATTGCGCATGGGGGATGGTTTTGGAGAAGACGAGGATGGTGAAGTGCAGGATTGCCATGAAAACCTTGATACTGGTTCATTTGACAGCTCTGAATCGAATGCCACTACCAAGGAGAAGAAAGGCTGGTTTAATTGGAACAAGAAGAGTTCGAAGAGCATGGGAGATGACCCGGAGGACTCCAAAATTCTAAAGAAGTTCTCAAAGTTGGCACCTGAAGATGCCAAGCAGAAGTCTGGCGACCTTCGCAGGTCATCATCTGAGTTTCACAGGGAGGATATGGGGGACCCTAAAAAGTCAAAAGATAAAAGTAGCAAAAAGAAAAAGAAGAAGGTGGCCACTGTTGAGTCAAAGAATGAAAGCGAGTATAAGAAAGGTTTGAGGCCTGTGCTGTGGTTAACTCCAGATTTTCCTCTGAGAACTGAAGAACTCTTGCCTTTGCTGGATATACTGGCTAATAAGGTCAAAGCGGTTAGAAGACTGAGAGAGCTTTTGACTACTAAGCTTCCACCTGGCACATTTCCTGTTAAGGTACTTGCTGATACATGTGCACCGTTTGATGAAGTTCTTTTCTCTGTTGTTAGTCATGAAAATAGCTTCTTTTTTTTCCTCTCCTTTTATGATTCAACATGAGGCATGGCTGTTTTTTGTATACTTGTGTCATGTCACCATCTTTTCTATCATAGTACAAATCATGATCGGAACACACCATGCACTGACAAAAAATTCAAACAAACCAATCCAAGGTTCTGTTTTGTCAGAGGCATTTGTGCAAGATCAACAAGAATATCATAGTTCAAATAGTGCCAGATAAATAAATTCTCAAAAAAATTGATCAGAAGCATCAGTATTAAATTTAACTTTAAGTCTGTGCATCTATGTACCTCCTTTGTAATTGTGCATTCATTCTTACAGGGAAATGAATGCTCCTTCAATAAAATTATTTACTAGAGTGTAGTGGAGAACAGTACATATAATAATATATTTATCCATCCATGTAGTTGTGATATCTGTTCTTTATCTGGAATTTTCTCCACTGCACTTGTGGCTAACGTACTGGAGACTCATATTTGCATTTAGTCTCTATTAGGCAACTTTGTGCAGAGATCATCTATGTTTGTTCAAAATCACCTGTGTAGTTAACACTTAATAAGTTTTAGTTCTAATAAAATTATTGTGCTAAAGAATTTTAGGGTGAAGAGAGAAGGAAAGAGGAATGAGAAAATTGGTGGAGATTGAACCGCAAATTAGATTTAAATGACCCGAGAGAGACATAGCAATTTGTTGACCTTTTCTTTTTCCTCTTTTTAACTTCTCTCTGCTGCATCAACCAAAATGTATACTTCGAGTCTTCAGATGCATCAAGTTTTTTCATATTTATTTCTTCTCACTATTGGAGATAACACCAGCATTTCTTCACACTAAAGATCCCTGGAAATTATAAGGGTGATTACTGTGCGTGTCTTTGCCTTGTAGGTTATAAAGCGGAGTTATTGCATTTCAGAATTTATTTGAGTACAATATTATTTTGGTTTCAATTTTCTTCTTGTAGTTATCCTTGATATTTGTTGAATATGGGCCTTCATATAACTTATATTTTAAATATACAAAATCCTTGTATGTCAATAACTGTATTGCTCAGGTATCCTGAACACTCCTCCAGCCTTTGCTAATTGGTTTAGAATTTTGTGGTTGCAACATCTGAAAATGTATATAAACTTCTGCACGCCTCCTGCTTAAAATGTTAAAAGTACCATGTTTTGCTTTTTCCTGCTATAAACTCATTTCCTCTTAGCATTATTTTGTTTGCAAAGATTAGGCTTTTCATTGTCGTCATCTTAGATGCTTTATGACTGACGTACCTACCCTGTTAGCATTATTTTGTTTGCAAAGATTAGGCTTTTCATTGTCGTCATCTTAGATGCTTTATGACTGACGTACCTACCCACTGTACAGATTGCCATCCCAATCGTCCCAACAATACGTGTTTTGGTGACATTCACAAAATTTGAGGAACTTCAGCCAGCAGAGGAGTTCTCAACTCCTCTCTCTAGCCCTGCACATTTCCAAGATCCCAAGGCCAAGGAGTCCGAGGGTTCTTCTACATCGTGGATTTCATGGATGAGAGGAAGCCGTGGGGCCCAGTCCAGTGATAGTGAGAGCCGCAGCTTCCGTGACGAACCCGACCCTTTCCACATACCATCCGACTATGCATGGGTTGATGCTAACGAGAAAAAACGCAGGATGAAGGCCAAAAAGGCAAAGAGCAAGAAACATAAAAAGCATGGGGCGAACAGAAATCCAGATGGTGCTCGACGAGTGAATGAGGATGCTGAGTGACAGATGCAGAAAAACAGTTTTAATCTTTGGCTTGTCCAATTTCTGGGACTGCCTGATTGTTGTACTTGAAGATCAATCTTCCTTAGTTGTGTTGTTATTTTGTATGGAAATTGGAATGCAGTTGGAGTGTTTGGGACCGCTTCAAATGTATGTAGTTTAGGTTTGTTTGTCAGTGGCTGTGTGATTGTTATTCTTTCTGAACTACTAGTAGTTGCATCTACAACTTTTGTAATTTTTGTTTAGGTGGCTTTGTAATTGGAACTTCCCTGAGAACAAATCTGGGATGCTCTCCATTGTGTGGTGTCTTCCGGAATTGATGTTAGCACATTCAATTATCTTACGTTGGTGTACTTTATCTGGAAATGAACACGGGTGTATACAATGTGTGTTGTCTAATAACTAAAACAAAGTTGAAGTCACGCTTGAAGACATGTTTGATCCATTATGGTAAAAGTCTAATAAGACTAGATATTTCAACAATTGAACTTCCCATAATTATAAACAACTATTATCCGAATACTTGCTGAAGAGTAGAAGAAAATTTTAAAAACAGTTGATTTCAAATATTTAACAATCATTTTAGTCCGACGGTGTTTCTTGTAAGTCAGAAAAACCTCATAGCACCGCATGATATAAAATTTAGTCGATTGTCATCCAGAGTAATGCTGATCTCACGAGAAGGAACAAATAAAACTGCCTTGCGCGGTCTCACCTCATCAATGAAGGCAAACAATACAGAAATTAAAGTACAACATTAATGAGCAGAGCAGTTCGTTCATTGCCTTGAGCAGTTAGCAAAATCCTCCATAGACAATTTATCATCACAACGTGTACCTCAGCCGATAATTCCTAAGCCAATCCTCGCCCTTTTCGAAATAATCCAATCTCGTGAATGTTTGCTGTGAGAACTGAACAGCAGCAGCAAAAGCAGAAGCCCCACGCCAAGCATCGAGTATTGGGTCCAATGCTCTGAGGATTCTAATGGGGGTCCCACACGGCTGCAGCATTCGAACTCCTGCTTCTAAACGCTCGCTCAAGCCAGGAAAGAGACAGCTGCCACCTGTCAGCAAGATTGATTTGGTTAGTCTGTCTTCTTGGCTGCAGCCTTTCGAGCCAAACTTCCTGATCGAGATGCCAGCCATCTCATCTAGCCCCGCCTGATCAATTCCGACCAAGTTGGGATTGAACAGAATTTCCGGGCACCGGAATCTTTCTACACCGAGTATAATTTGGTAATCTTCTTTGGTCAGTGGACGAAAACGGGGCGCCTCCACAGACGAGGATCCAACCTCAGATTTGAAGATGAAGGTCGGGTCGATTTCCTGCAGGGGAAGAGAGTCATAGTTCTCAAATTTAAATTGTGATATCAGTGTAGATTTAAAGCTTAACCCAATAGCCCCTCAGTTTCACTCCATCCATCTTCTTAGGTTTTCTCACAAAGATTAAGAAAGTCATTCATCAATGTATTTATGCATAACTAATTACTAGTTTACCCTCTACTATCATAATTGCACCTTATGATTAATAGTTATCCAAAATCCACAACCAAAGGTAAGAACGAAAAAGAAAATGCAATTAATCCTTCTTGGTTTTTACATATGATAGAATGAAGCAAATTTTATTTTGGAAAATGACAGATTATAATAACCCCCCACCTGGAGTCTAGAGGAGACGCAAGCTAACTCGACTTCATCCGGATCAGGCTTATCATCGTCATCGTCATCATTATCTCGACTCATCAGCTTGTAGAGCTGCCAATCTTCATCTTTGGTACCAAAAGTATCCTCTCCCTTTCCCCGGTCAAAAGCTGCTGTAGTTAAAAGGCGCATCCTCTCTCTGTGAGAGGAACTCAACCTCTCCCCACGACCAACCCCTCCCGATGCATTATTATTGTTATTCCCATTACCATTATTATGCTGTCCACCATTTGTTTTTAATCTATTTCGCTGCTCGACTTTCTCCAAAAGATCTCTGTGCTTTGCTCGTAACTCTTCCAAATACCGCTCTGGGTTCTCTCTATTGTCATGGAATACCAAAACACAGCACATTAAGTGAAAGAAACTAGCAGCCAAAAATAACAATTATTAAACGGAACACTAAGGCTATGTTCGTAAAAGAAAAATCTCAAACCAAATTAATTCATACTCAAAATCTAACTCAACTTTAAGTCTTTAACTCAACCCCACTATCCTCAATATTATCAATATTAAATAATAACAATCAATCATTAGATAATAACAACCAATCATTAATACACATCATATCAACTTTAATTCACTATTCATCCACTCACATAATTTTAACTAACCATCACTTCATATCATCTCTCTCCTACTTTTACATCAAACCAATTTTAATTATTTTATTTTAAATATTATTTTAATATAAACTCAAAATCCCACTAATAACTAACTATACCACCTTTTCTAAATTAACTTTAGTTAACTAAAAAAAATTCACTTTGAGTTATTTCACTCAAATTATTTCTTTTACAAACACACCCTAAGAGTCCTCTACAAATACTCAAACTCGATTCTCTACAATGTCGGCAGAATATTAACATGCAATGCATTACAACCCGTAAAGCTTAGCGACATACAGGCGTCTTTCTTCCTCTAGCTGCTTTTGCCGTTCTCTTTCTAGTTCCTCCTCTACCTGCCTCTGTTTCTTCTGCTGCCGTGCCTCGGACGTTGATTTAATAAATACCTGTTTTCTCTTTTGCTTCAGCTGTCAAAAGATGGGGGCTTCAGAGTGGACGTCAATCACAGAAACAGCATTACCAACCTTCATTAAACTAGAGCACTCATTTCCTAATAAATTGAGCTAAGAAACGCATAAATCTATGGCATTTTATGAACTTATTAGCAACCGGATAAACCCACAAACCTGTTCCGGGGTGAGCATCTCATCAGGTACATTAATTAGATTATATCTGTCAGTAGAAGTAGCATCCATCTTCTCAATACTTTCAACAGGTTCTCCCTTTGCTTTCCTTAAAGATTGTCTTGCCTTCACAAGGGCAGCTTCCGCATCCTGCTTTGAAGTAAAAGTAGTATTTCCGAGGATTGAAGGAATATCATTATCGGCTACATCACTAAGCCTCTGCAACAACATGTCCAAGTCTCTTATTTCATTTTCAAGATCATTAATTCTATTGAATCTCTTTGCTTCAGCCATCTCCCTTAATCTTTGACCTTGCTTCTCTTTTAAAGCAGCCTTTCTAGCAACTTCTTCCTCGGATGGTGCCTCATCCACTGGTGCGGGGGTCCAAGGAAGCTGCCAACACCTGGTTTTCTCTTCAGCTTTCTTGTCCCCTCTCTTAAGACAAAAGAGTACATGATTATTTTTTTCTTGGTTTGGCAGGAACAGGATAGATGGAAGGGGAAAATGGCACTAAGTAGCTTAACTACAATAAAAGACCTGAAATAATCGAACTTCTGATGCGTAATCTGGGGCAATATAACAGTATTCCATCTTCAGGTCTTCAACTTTCTCCCATGTAAGCATAGGCCTATTTAGGAGCAAATTAATGCAAGTCACATTCAATCGAATATTTTCTGTTTGTTCATACAAGGGTTCAGCTCCTTACATATGATGGGGGTACTTAAGTGAAAGAAGTTGCTTCAAATAATCAGTGACGTGATAACCACCAATATTACTCCGGCAACATGCTTCATAGACAGGTTCTCCATTCAAAAACTAACAATAGAGAATGCCAAAACCACCAAGTCAGTAGCATAACTTCAATAATTATTAAGAAAATGTCATTGAAACAGATTATACCAGACTGAGATGTGGATCCCTGTTAGTTATAGTAACAAAGTACAGTGTTCTTGGTACACCTTATATGATTACCACTAAAAGATGCTTAATTTCAACAAAGTTTAGCTATTCTTTACTTGAGTCAGGAGCCATTGCGCAGGGATGTGTAACTTTGCAAGAGAGCACCTGGAAGGGAAGGGGGTCTTCCGGGTGGATTGGGATAGGGTGAGGAGCAGCGAGTTGTCTAGTTGGCAGGGTACACAAGGAGTAAGGAGTAGGCAATAAGGATATTACTATTCTACCACAAGGATTTTGACATGTTAAGTTCGACATGTGAAGATATCGAAGTGGAATAATTATTTTTTGCCCAAAAGGTTTGACCAGACAAAATTGGAACAATGGAGGTCAGTGAAGTCTCATCCTAGAGAACACAAGGTTCCAAATTAGATGGTTTTGTATAATATTCTTTCTCGTCTGTTCCTCTCAAGCATTCTCTAGGCATTCACAGACTAAGTTTGGGTTGGTTACGGGAGAAGTGATGACAAAGCCCCAGTCGTCGACCCTTTCAGAGATTCCCACGTTGATTGCTAAAGCGGCTTAAAGGGAATTGCTTGAACCATTTTTGGTTCAGCCATTTCCGTGGTTTCTTACTTTTGAACAAAAAAATCATCCAGCGATAAATATGAGAGAGTTGGCCCCAACTGGTGCAGAATTGTATTAAACCATTTAAACCTACATTTTGTATTACATATATATGATTTTATACTTAATATTGTCACAAACTAGAAACTTGATGCAGTCTACTTATGTTCCAGTATCCCATATGAATAGTTTTAGTTCTCACGACTTATGACCTCTTATGCATTAACTTCGCTTGAATATTCTCCAGAGCCCTGGGACTAGATATAGTTTTCCAAACATCCAAACATGGTGGAGAAAAAAAACAAAACACATTTATATGACTATAACCATCTTTTTAGAAAGGCAATTATCTACATGGTCTATAGATGATCACCAAATCGTTCCGCCCACATGTTTTAATCAAGGGTCTCTCTAAATCCACGAATATATTTACCATTTATTGAGTGAGCAGCCAGATTTAAAATAACATACCGGAATAACATGACTTGTATTGAATCCAGAACAGATTGCGAGACCATCATTACTACAAATGCCAAATTGTTGATTGTACTTGTAGCTAAATGCCGCATCAACGCCAAATGCTGCAGTGAAATAGAGAATTAGTAGTTCTGCAGTAGATTACAAAATAAAGGTCCAGACTTCAACGACAATTGGTACAACTCGTGGAATTAAGTAGCAGGAACAGTAATTTTCTTATTTAACAGAAACAAATAGCTAGAAGAAGGAAATAACTAGACGACAAAAGCAGATTATCATAGTTTCAACTAGAAGACAACAGCAGATTCAATAATTGTTTCAGATAAATATTCCTCCAAAGTCTAAACCACTGCAATAACTTTTTAAATATTGTTTCAGAGAAATATTCCTCCAAAGTCTAAACCACTGCAATAACTTTTTACCTACTGATGGAACCCCATAAGTCTCGAAAAGAAGTTCGGCCATTTTACTGCGAGACTGGACAGGGTTGCAAACACATTCAGTAATCAAGACCGGATGGTTAATCTGTTCTCCCACCGTTCCACCA